TAACCCAACTCGGCGAACGAGAAGAACACAATGAAAAACATGACAGCAAAACCGGCTAAATCCTTCGCACAATTACCCAACGTTGAGCTCAATTGGGTCATGGTTTTGTTGAAACTGATGTATTTGAAAATCTGTAGAAAACGAGAAAAAAACATCAAATTTGACTGATTTGAAAATCGATAAAGATGCAGTTCATATGTGGTGTCAGAGTTACCGATTTGGCTGACAATGAAATACCGGAAATAAGATACAATATGCGGATTGTTGTCCACATAATTTAAAAGATAAAAAACTACCGTTTTGAATTGGAAAACTGCCCATCGACTACCTTTCCGTGCTCTCTTTNTTTGGCTTCAGTTGGTACAAATTGGGTCCCAAGGGATGAGGACTGTCGTTGGTTAGAGACACTGAGAGATATGACCCGGAATGTAGAAGTCAGTGGTGCGAATGTTGTACAGTTTGCCTGTCAAAATCTCGTGCCGTATAAAAAAGATAAACTAACACAAACAAAAATTTCAAAATGTGTTCGGTAAAACAAAAAAATTGTTATCCCATTTATTCGTTATTTTCCATTTGAACAGTTCTGTCTTTTTTCCCATGTTCTATTTCCCAACCCCTTCAGTTATCGTTATTGTTATTATTTTTATGGCATTGGCAGCTTGCTTTTCCGCAAGCCGGTGTGTATATATATATATACAAAACCATTACAACACCATTTTTCATAAACCGGAACCCTTGATCCGCGTAATGTAAAGCGCAATGCTCGGTGTGCACCGCTAGCGCCGTANTCGTCTATGGTGGTAATTCCCGTGGTGATTAAACTGTCACCTGTCCCGTCATGTATCACCTGGCCTGAATGGTCCACGACCGCGACACAATGCGCTTAGGTTTATCTCGTTTGAAAAGAGAAAAGGTATTGGGAGTCAAAATGGTCTTTCTCGGTGTAGAAAAATGTGTCATCCAATGAAAAATAAGATGTGCTGAGAGAATGAAGATTCAACCACAGCGCTCTGTTTCTTCGGAGAGCTCAGTACATTTCGATTCACTGAACGACGATGATGCTGAGTGTATTTAGAGTATCAAGCTTAGATTAGCCCATTCGATTGTTCAGAGGCACCAGTCCCGACCCGACTGATCATGGTTCGAGTCCTGACAGGGACACAAAAAGTACGCACTGCTGACGAGTCCCANCCCAAACAGGACGAAACAGCTGTCCAGTGCTCTCTGTTGGTTATCACAAACATTTCCGTCGCATTTAAATGCTGAGTGTACGTTAAGAATATGGAATATTCATTCAGATTATTTGCCTACTGATCTGTCATTTCAGTAGTATGTCTGTTTAAGCCACATTATTGCGCTTCATTTTCTCCACGCGTTTCATCGCTGTACCACTGAGGCACATTCCATCCACCAGAAGATTGTGACATTTATCAACCATTTTACACATTAACACTTCCTTTATTTCCTACTTCATATGAAATGTAAACTTTGACCAGCATAAAAACACTTCCATTTGTTTATATCACCTGATTATGCAAATGTCTTCCAACGCGTACAATTTGAAGACACGAAAGACCAGCGTGAACAGACTGCAAAATACGCTTACGCCTTAGAATCGCTTGCCTGCAAAGATTGCTTGTACGCTATTACTTCATTATTGATAATTTGTCACGCGTTATATGTAGAACTGTGTTTTATGAATCTTGGTTGTTGATTGTGCATCCTGTATCCGTTGGGACGCGAAGTGAACCAAGTAACAAATCGGACTTGGAAATGCAATGCGCAGCTAAGTCGACAAGAACTTTGTAGACACATATTTAGAAGGAGTCGATTAAGGACGACTGAATATTTAATATGCTGATGATGCTTCGTTCTCCCGGGAAACTTACAGTTTTCCGCATTGGCTTCTTGGTCTACCAGTTTGAAATAGTTTAGATAAGTTAGTTGAGAACAGGAGAATCACTCTTTAACACACTGGGCCTCATTGCTCAGTGTCAACAATCTTCGATTAGAATCATCTTAAGGTCTTTAGGCACAAAAACACGAAAACCCCGTTTAATAAAAACAAATCACGTCCAAACTCACCCACCCATTAGCTCAAAACAGGACCCATAGTTCCCAAGGTACCGATATATGTATATAGTCATCTAACCTGCTTCACGTAAATAGTATTCAATCGAACCTCAGGTAGATTTTCTCCGCACCACGGCCTGTCTAATAGTGGTTGACTTTCTGTGAAAAAGGAATGTCAGAACAAAGGATATTTTGATGTCAAGCCAGTCAATACCCAAGAACTGATGACATGTATCACAATCTTTGAGTTATTTTCTCCACCTGGAATAAATACATCGATTTTTATGTGTCTAGTATTTTCCTTATCCAAACAGCAAACCTCTGTCCTGACAAATAACAAATAACGTATCCACGGATCGAGTGATGTATGAGGTGAAACAAAATTGTGTTTGAAAAGAAGAAGAAGAAAAACGGTGGCTCTCGCGATTGAGAGAGAAGCCTGTATCGCTCATACTGATTGGGCAAATCAACCAACCATAGAGGATTATAACGCCGATCATGACGACACCGACGACGACGACGACAACGACGACGAAGACAACAACAAAAATAACAACGACGACGACTCTAACAACAACAACAACAACCTACCTTCATCCAGGCCAGAAAAGTAGTCACCGCAATACCGTAGTTGAAGTTCACTTGCCATATACTTAACAGTTGGAAATTGGCGAACTGATCCGGATTCTGTAGCAAATCGTCCAACAGCTCGTTCACTTTGATGGTTCGATAGATGTTGAACGCGGCACATATGAGACTGAGAGCAATGATAATAATGTCCAACCAATTCCACACCGAGGTAAAATATGAACACTTGTGCTTGGAAATCTGAAAGCAAGGGGATCAGATTGTTAGTTAGGTTTGCGGGGGTTTGTTCACATGCAATCAATAAGTCACTCAGGAGGGGAAAAGGAAAGAAGTTTTACAGTTGTTTGATCCTATTCCGGCAAAAAGCACTAGCACACTGGCATATACTTTGAATGAGCTGAATTTGGGCTGAAAAGGGTCGATGATTTGAAGTAGTAATACCAAACAAAGATTTTTGTCTACATCCTTAACAAATTGCTACATAATCATTAGTATTTTATGTATGACGTTATTTGGTACTCGCGGAGTGGGCTGTCATGGAGGATACCGGACCTGAATGAACAGTGATTAATTCCCCAGAAATGCGCAAAATGCTGATTAGTTGTGGCGAGTTGAAAAAAATTGTAGCACCCTGCTTCGCTATCATCATTGACGTATTCATTTAGAAAACACTGAGTTATATTTACCATCCGAGATCAATCGAAAGATCCGCGTTCTGTTGAGTGATACCTCTTTTCGAATCACGCATGAGCTCAGAAAAAATAATAATTAACAATAACTCTCTTCGCAATCTGTGTCGTACGATAATACCCTAACAATGATCATGGTTAGCAATGACCTAGTTTCCAGCCGTTTTCATCGATTTCCATCTTCTATGGTTGTTTGCTACCCGGTTTTGTGGATAAGAGCACATTGTAAAATCCGGTAGTTAGATATACTGATGACAAGTCAGTCGCTTGAAAGTCTTTATCTTTCACTTTCTGTCGAAAGTCATTTGAGTGACAGCTATCTGCCTGAAAACTTGCTACTGATCGATTCGGGTTTTCATGATTGCAAGTGGTTTTGAGTGGATTGAAACTGACTATTGCTCTATCGAAAGTGGACGTCAATTACTCAGACCACAAAGCACCTGTAACAGACAAACGTCATGTTGCACTTTATCTGTATGCCGAAAAACGTGTTAATTAGGAACTGGGTCTATTTTCTGTCAAAATAAACAAGCGATAATTGGTGTAGCGAAGTGCTTCGTGTATAGAGCAAATGAAGCGTGAAATGAGAAGCGTTGTATATGCAGCTCGACGTGAATGAGTTTCAGCAGGCAGTTTCGATCCACCGATCCTCCTGCAGATCGTAACCCGAACCTCCACGAGAAAGAACGCAAGCGTACTGCCCACTCAGCCATCGGGCAGCCGAACACACCGTTTTCCTCTTAAATAAAAGATGACAGACTGTTCTAATCAATTGATCCCTTCTACCCAAAGTCCATACTTAATGAGTCATTTTAGTGGTGAAATTTGAGAAAACCAGAAATCACCAGACTCGAACTGTACCCATGTCACTATACATACGGTCACCTTGGATAAACAAACCTCATTCGACTTGGTTAGTCTAATCAGAGATTTTTTTCCCGCAACGCGGTCATCGATCCGAATGCTGCATTGTGCCCGAGATACCGTATTGATGCATTTCTTTCTTATGATCTGAATAGGACAGATTAATTAAGGGTGATTAATCAGTCGAGCGAACGAGATGATCGGACATTGTTCCATTTTGTTTGTCTGGTTTAGCTATCTTTAACCTCAATACTTACAGATTATGGATCAAAATTTATTGGACAGCAAACCAATTGTGTTCTATGTACGCTAAGTGGTTTGAACAATTAAAAGTTGGTAATGTGAAGTTCATGGCTTAACATATTGAAAAAGAACAATTATTTGAATCATACCGCACACACGTTTGTATATAGGCGTCAGTTGGGAAGTTTTACACGTAATGGAACAACGAATTGATCCGTGGATTGATGAAAATTTGAACAAGCATAATGTTTTTGAATAAATTGATATGCTCTTAACATTTTAGAGGGGAACTATTTGTGTGGATTGTGAATGTCACCTGGGACCGCTTCCCAATGCATTGTACGAGAGATGTCTTTCTGACAAAACCCAGGTTCTCGCAATGCAACATCTATTCAGAAGTCTTGATTCTCACAGAAATTTGGCGTTGTTTTGTATTTCATTTCATATATATATATATATATATATATATATATATATATATGACGCAACCGATAATTTATGGTCAAGCGATTAAAAGAAATCCAGGGTCATCTGCTACAAACATGCCATGACAACAAGACGAATAGTTGACCCCAGTTCGTCTTTCAAACCACTTTTACGTAATCACAATGCTAAACTGTTGGCCATTGGTGAAGCGCTGCTTATTCGATTACACAAACGTTTTTGATATAATCAATCCATTTACCGTGGAGTTGACCTTCTTCTTCTTCTATGTCTCGTGATCTTTGTATTTCTGTACACGTTCAATCACCATAACTGAATAATCCCATATGTTATATATAGTATGATCATTTGTTTTAAGTAAGTGACTGAGAAGATTAAACGAAATGTTAACATCGATTGATATTTGTCCTCTTACTGTATTGATGAAATTCTCGGTTTAACAGATAGGCGCGTTATAGCGTCAACTGGTATTTACCGGAAAAAAGGACTCACCTCCATAATCTCCTCCACAATGTAATATAATGTGAACAGCAAGAAAATGCATTCACACGCCAGCACAAAGTAGTCAAAAGTTGTGACATAGCGGAGCAGTTTGACAGATCGAAACTCGGATGTACTGATCAGTCCACCGGATCCCGGTGCTTCAACGACGATCCTAGAAAAGCGGGGTGGAGTATTTTTGTGTGTACGTGGGCGCGAAACGTAGTGGTAGACTTCTATATGATCAAAACGTGCTGCTGCTGACAATGGGGTCGGTTTTGTTTTTCAGAGATGGATAGGCTTATTCTCGAAATTCCGAGAAAAATCGTTTTTACTACTTATGAGTAATAAAATGGTTATTGGAAAATATACAATAATGATGCGGGAAATCATTGTCATTAGAATTTCATAGTCTTATTCAGTTAAGCAGATAGACGATTTCCTTTCAGCTACCAGGTGATATCATCTGGGAAAAATGTATTCTGATACGGCTTACTAGAATAGCTAAACAAACATAATGATGTCAGCGGTAGAAATAAACACACACCACTATTGCATCGCTATAAGATGACGCGGTGAGCGAACGGAAAGGGGCCTCGGATTTGGGGAGAAAAACGATGTGATGACTTACTGAGCAACAGAAAACAAATTCAAATTCGGATTATAACTTGTAAAGTGCAGAAACACAGCTCGCGTTCCACGATCCAGCCATAAGTTGTCGAACAAAAATTGAAGTTGATCATCGGCCTCCGAGCGATTGGTGGATAGATCCACATAGTAGCCACCTCCTCCATACAAACTGGCTGTGCCCCAGAATAGTGACATTTCCAATTCGTCTGATGGGGTGTATATCCATCTGAAATTGGACGGGAAGAGATTTGATTGACATAATTTGTCAAGATTTTACAACTCATTGTTTCCTACAACATGGCAATGATTTTCAAATGTGCCATTTCTATGTGGCGCGTTTTGTTCCTTACCTGCAGCCCATTAAGAAAGCGTTGCAAAAGGTCTTCAATGTCAAGCAGTTCGTCTTAACCCACAATCTATTATATGTTATAGATACGTAATCCCGTAAGACAATGAATGCTTAGTGATAAACACAGAAAATTGCTGTCCTAACATATCTTATGTGGAACATAACATGATACTTGCAGCCCATACTACAAAATTCGCCACGGACGTCGTGGAATAAGACGTCTATCGAGTTCACTCATTTTCATCAGTGGATAATCATCTACGTACTAGTGGCAAAAGTCAATTTTCAGTATACTGTAGTTTATAATAATGCTCCATATCAGAGAGGAAAATGCAATAGATAAAGAGCATCGAGCATCTTACGCAGTCCCATTCATCGGGCCAAATGATGTCTTGTCTTCGTGAGTCACATCGTACGGTCCGTAACATTCCCTGATATCTTCCCTAAAGTCAGTCGGGATCAGGCAGGAATTGGAGGACATTCGCAGTTGACGTACACGTGGAACTCCGATAATCAGATTGTCGTAACAGATCGATTGACGTCCATCAGCTCTCATCGGTTCCATTGTACCAAGAGCTATCATAGAGAGCATTCATAACCGGATCCCGAATCACCTGAATAAATAAAGATGAGAAAAGTGCATCCACACTGATAGGCATCTATAGTTTTCATCCATTGCTGGAGTATGAGTAAAAAACGATGTCAGTTCTTCTGTTGAGACTATGAAGGGATATACATACTACAGAGACATGAGTTGTCTTCCCGTTGTTTGCAATACTCACATAATAAATTATTCAAACAAAAAGGCGGACTTTTTCCGTAAACTCAGCACAGATCACCTTGATC